ACACACATGGTATTATACATGTGTATCACATTGAATAAATTCATTGAGCGTATCAGAAATTCTATTAAAATTCTATTAGAATTCTATTATAAATGAACTTTGAACCACAAGTTTCCAATAAATTTAATTATTTTTTTAGTATAGATACTATATTACTATAAAGTTCAAAAAATTTTTAAGAATACATCAAAAACATACAAAAAATTGTATTTATAAACATAATATAATAAATATTATTAATGGCAAAATTCTGTTAATGACAAAATAATGGACAAATAGTTATTTGATCATCTTATCGTTGTTTACGTCTTAATAAAAGTCGAAGGTCGCAGTTGTGTCGATATATATGTGTACAGTCACCAGTTCCATCAATTTACACATGATGCAGGCTCGTGCATCTTTTTATCTGACTGATCGACATTGCTCGCCTAATCAAAAATAAAGCCGGGATTTATTAATAATTCGTTAGTCGAATAATCAACAACGTTACACTAAAAATATCGTGTCGAAATTCGCTTTTTATATGCGAATTAGCGTAAAATCTCGTTCTCACACAAACTATGCTCGATTGAAAAAAGAAATATTAAAAAAAAATAAATATCTAATCCTACAAAAATAAGTATAAATCACGTGACAATAACAATAACGAGTTTGTCAATCAATGATATCGTATAACAATCGTTTTAAATACGCAAAGTAATCTATAAACGATCAAATTCTAACGGGACTAAGTCGAAAAAGAATTTTCAATTAATTAAATTAATTGATAAAATTTTTCCTGTAAATACGACAGAACAGATCTTAACAAGATCTATCTAGGTTAGGATGAAGAAATTATTTATATTCGTTTATACTTCAATATGATTCGTTTCATTATTATTACTAGTTTTATTAGTTTTCACTAATATTAATCGATTTTATTGATAAAATATTATATCATATATAGAATATATTTCTTTATCTTTATTCAAATACTCATGGAAACATACATATAAAATATGAAAAAGACAACTGTGTTTATTGCCGTACGCACATTAATATTATTAATCTAATACCACTTTGAATGTATCTACTGATCACAATCGATTGAATAATAATAATTCTCACGATCAAAGCAAATTAAATGAAATAAGTTGATTCTAAATCTCTTATATCTATTATATAAACTCCAAAATAATTAAGAACGAGTCGTATAATAATAAATTCATGCTTCTTCAAATCAATAAAAATTCATTTTGTGAAATATCTGAAATTTATCACGTTTTATGTAGTATGTATTTATTTAAAA